AGCCGCCTTTACTGGCCTGGTGTGGCAACACATTTTGACAAATAAATGCCTCCCTCCATTAAACCCCTGGTCTGGTTTTTGGTTCTTTGGATGTATTAAACCTCTTAAACCCTGCGGGGTCGCCCGCTTTAAACACTTGATCAAAAGAACCGATCAAAATAATCAAAACAGCTTTTCAGAAAAATTAATCCAAGTTATGAATCCTGTCATGTGAAGTCAATCGCTCTCTGTCTGCTAACTTATGCTGCACTTCTCTCATTCTGCACCCTGTTGTTGTTTTGTTAGTTGCTGCCTTCAAAATAAAAGCGCACAAGCCGTCTGTCGGAGCTAGATCAAATGAATTACGTGTAATTGATATTATTTGATCATTTTTATACAACTATTATTCTGTTTGCTTTGTTAAAATGAATTAAAGGCCTGTCCCAAATATAGGCAGGGTCAATTCAGTGATTTTAGCAAATAAAAGCCCGGGCTACGTAAGTTTTACGTAAGTGCGTTTCCATCAGCTGGAGCGAATAAATGTGTTTCAAGGGGCCAAGTTGCTAACTGCCATGTCTGCACATATCATCGGAATATCTGGCAAGACACCGACAGTATAAACTTAAGTCAGAACTTATGCGTCAATAGTGTTTCCATCTCCCATTTAGCACATACAATTTTTTCGACAAAGGCAAAAAAAACCTCAAGCGAGCGTAAAAACTTTTTGGGAAAATTAAGTTGTTTTTCTAATGCGATCCAAAATGAACATAAAGAAATGTTGAATGAAACACGCCTGGTGTCACAATGCTGGAAAATCAGGTACCCTCCCACTACAGTAATATGTTATTTTTATCATTGACTGCTCTGTGGTAAGCGTATTGACTCATTTACGTTTTTGGAGTTTGTGTGTTGGTAGCGTATTTTGCTGCTCTAAGTGCAACCCAGTTAAACGTGATAGGTTCTTCATTACAGCAGCTAATTATCCGCTTTACATTTACTTACACTAGTTCTGTTCAAGCATTCATAGATCTGTCCTTTTTCTCTCACAGTTGTTTACACGCTATTCAGTTTTGCTAATGTTAGCTACCTTACTTTAACTTAGCAGCTAGCGATGGCTTCTTTCTCTCGCTCTTCTGCTCTCTCTTGCCCAGTGTGACACGTTTAGTAAACGTCTTTCTGGAAAGACCTGATCTGATTAGGATAAACGGCATTAATCCCATTTTGGATGGGGTAGCTTTCATATCTAGAAATCTAGCCGAGTTTATTAGTGGACCAAATCAGTATCAGAATCAGAATTAGAATGAGGTTTATTCCCAGGTACATTTTCACATATGAGGAATTTGCCTTGGTATGTATTGGTGCTTACATTGGTACACATGAACATGTCACAATCGCTCTGCTTGCTTCAGAGTCCTGGAGGGGTGCAGGTCTTGGAGGGATGGAATGTGGCAACCAATCACCTTCTCAGCAGAGTGAATCATGGGTCGGGGGGTCAGGATCCCCCATCTGAGGTTTGTCCCCCTCCAAAAACCATTTAATAATATAATGATATATACTTAGAATAACTGTGTAAGTAGTAAAACAATACAAGCCCAAACAGGGCAATAAAAGTGCGTTTTAAGTTTTGAAAAATCTCCCCTCCCTTGCCTCACAGTGGTCTACTGCCTGCTTTACCTCACAGGAGTCTGGTGGGAGTAAACAAGTTCGAATTAGTGATGGAAAAAGTAACTATTTTGACACACTTGAATCTCAAATCTCGTTCATTAAAATGAACAAATTTTGTGTAATTTTGTTCATTTTGTTCATTTCTTTCATTTTAACTATGCTGGTTATTGCAGCACTGCAGCCCTCTAGTGGGTAATTTAAAAAAAAAAAAACAGCACAGTTCTCAATCACGAAAGGCTGCCTGGCTTGCATTAATTGACAGTATAATGCACAATTTCACCTCTTGATCATTCTCTATCATCCTTCTATAAAGCCCCATGGGGCCTCAACCAAATTCAAACCATGGAAAAACCACAGAAATATGTTGTCAATATTCAATTAAGCCACTACTCCGGCTAAATCTGTCCATTTTCACAAACTTTCCTGAGTATACTACCAGACCAGCCATATATATGTATATATAATTATAATTACTATCTTTATATCTCTGAAGTGCTCATTCATAAAGTAGCCTAACGTCCCTTTCCATGAGTAAAATCTGTATATTAACACCAGATTTGTGGGGAATATTTTGAAGTAATAAGCTTGACACACTAGATAAATAAAACACACTCTTATTAAAATTTAACAACTTTAATAATAATCTGGATAAAGCCACCAAGTTCTTAAAAGAACTCCAGCACAGAGAGAGGAACAAAGAAATAAACATAAAATGTAAACGCAGAAGTTTGGTAGGTCTGGACGCAGAATGGGCCTCATCAGGTCCGGATTCTGCAGACAGAGAAACAAACATGAGCACATCGCTCTTAAACACTGCTGTTTGTTCACCTGTCAAGAGCTGTGAAACAACACCACGGCTCTGTTGATAACTAAAAAGTAAAAGTTACGTTCTCTGGCAGACCCGGATCAGCTGTTAGCTGTAAACACAACACAGGGATAACGCTAACATTGCTACGTGGCTGTGTTTTAATGTTTTAATGACCGGGTGTGTTTGTTTTAGAGAGGAAACGACCTCAGAGGTAATTCGGCGCCTGGTAGAACCCTGTCAGGGTGCTGAAGTGGAGCGGACCCAGAACAGCTCTCATCAGCTGTTAGCTGTAAACACTAGCAGGACTAAAGTTACGATACGTCTGTGTTAAAACTACAGTACAACATCACTGCCCTGTAAAAACATTATGCTTTATTAACGTTAAATGTCACATAATTAACAAAACAGATATATGATGTAACGACTCAAACCCAGGGACCCACAGTTGAGTCGTGAACTAATCAATTCTGTTTCCTGTGCTGACGGAGCCCATGCAGCTGCTGTGTGACGAGTGAACCTAAGTCCATGGCAGTCCAAGACTATTCACACATGCCTGAAAATGAACTAATCACTCCCTCAGACTACTCCTTCCTAATGAGTCACACGATTAGGTCAAATGAACGAAACATTCTTTAAACGACACAACACTAGTTCAAATCCTTAGTAGCCTAGTGTGGACCTCCAGTTATGTTAAGTAGGCTGGCAGGGCTATTTTATTCACTTGAAACATTGGATTGAGTCATTAATAAATTAATCATGACAAAAAATTACTATAACCGATTATTTTTCCACAAGCCCACTATGTTAATATAACATTACTTAGCTTGTTTGGTAGCTTGGTAATAGCGTCGACTGATCAGCTGAAATGACTGAAATAGGCTGGTTTTCGTTTAATCGGCCCTGACCAGCGACTGGGGCTGAGCAGTGTCAAATATCCAATTTTCTGCTGATCAAATTGAACGTTACAAACACGCTGTGCTGCGCCGTGTTTCTCGTGTGTGCACAGCGGCACAGACAGATCATGTCACAGCCACACCCACGTCTTAGTAGGTGTGTGGACGTTTTTCACTAGAGTGAAGAAGTGCAGGGCTCACTAGTTACATCTGCTGAGAAACTCAGAGAAAAAAACGTGATCTTGTATCACGTCTGAACAGCGGTTCTCAAAGTGTGGTTCGCACACATCCTTGGGGTGCATGAGCTGCTTTTAGAGGGTGCGCAACAGGAAAAATGTAGGCTATGGTGGTGTAGTAGTGTAAAAACTACAACAATACTTTTTGTGGAATTTCTCATGAAACAAAAAGCAGAATTAAAAACTTTCCTTTTTTAAATTTAATTTAAAATTAAAAATGTTTAATGTTTAATAGTTAGCTCACAGGAAATGGCTACTCACACACCCCTTTCCCTCTCTCTCCCTCCCTCTCCCCTCGCTCTCTCTCTCAAGATGAGCCACCAGCGCTGTACTTACAAACCCTCATATGGACTTTAAAACAATATTGTACAACACTGTTAGCAATTGATGTAATTTATACAGTAAATCTTACAACAATGTATTGTATTTGTGTTTTTACTGTAAGTGGCAATGCATCATGGGAAATTAATGGACAGTCCTGTATTATTATTGTAACTACACTGTACACGCCGAGTTTTACAATGGTTTTACATGCACCGCGTTGCATCATGGAATCACCGCGATCGGAATTTTGAATTTTTAGGCGGTTAGTTCTAAACGGACATTCGAGAACGGACATCGTTCAAGAAGAAAAAAAAGAAGCAAACATTCTGGGACGCAGGTAAGTTAACTTCACGTTATGTAACTTACTGTTACCCTTTTTTATATCATATAACGTTATTATTTCTGATAATCTGATTGGATGGTGACGGTTTCGTCTGCTTTGATTTGCTAACATAAAGTCGGCTGTCCCCTTGTGGTTTAGCTAAATTGGAAATAACGTTAGGGCATGGGCAGAAATAGGTGCTTTTATGATAAGGTAGCTAACATTATTAACGCGCTTCTTCCTCCATCAGTCCCATGAAATCAGGTATGTACTGGTAGTTGCTAACGTTAGCTACCTTGTTCATCACAAACTGATGCTATTTTTAATCTGCCTGAAGTAACGTCAACATGGTTTTTTCACTGTTTGGATGGATCGGCTAGCTAGCGCGACTGTCATTTAGGGCTGTCATTTAGAGAAAGAGCGCCTGCGAGACGAAAGTGAGAGTGAGGTCTGCTCTGCGGTCTTGGCGATTGACGCTGCCAAATAGGTTTAATCCTAAATAAACTACCTATAACGTTACAAGTAGTTATGTCTCTTGGTATTAATTTCTGCTGTAATTGACGTAATGTGCAAAATGCGCAACCAGATGTTCGAATATATGTGTTTTTTTTGGAGGGAATAACGTTATTCGAACGTCAGTATTTGAGCAATTTTTCTGTTTGTAAGTTTTTTATTGCGCTCTTGACTTCTGAGAAGAACGTCACGTCTGCCTCCTGTCAGTGAGTTAGCCGTAAAAAGGTAGCTTCTATGTTTGCTATCTTCTTATAACTGTTAAAGCATATCAAGAACAGATTTTATAACATTATCGTATATATTTCTATCGGGGTTTTTTTGTCCGTTTTGCCGAACATTTTCAGACAACCACCACGTGTTGTGAGGGTGAGCTCGACCAACAGCCAACTAAAGTTAGCTAGCTGCTAGCAAGCTTCACACAATTCCAAAATGTTCACTTGCAAGTTTAGCACATGTGGTAAGGAATTTAATAGAGTTTGTGAGTTTACTCAGCACATTAAGTTGCATAGTAATAGTGCTAATTACAGATATCAGTGTGGTGTGCCTGAATGCTCCAGACAGTATGTTAAAATTCCTGTACTTAAAGCTCACATGTACAGAGACCACAAAGCAGATGTGCCTTTGAGGAATAGTCAGCGACCATGTACTCCTATACAATGTGACTTTTGTGCAGTAAGGTGTGAAACATCATCTTTACTAGTTTGTCACTTGAGGTCACATTTGCGTGAAGGGTTACACGTTGAATGCCCATTTAGAGGATGTGATAGAAGGTTCTCTGTTTTGTCGAGTTTTGCATCCCATCTTTCTAAGAAGCACCGCAATGACAGTGCTGAACATGTAGAAAACCCCTCTAATGTAGAAAGACCTGTTGCCAGTGAATCAGTGAGTGAGTGTGAACCATCTAACGTTAATTATTCTGATGATGAGCAAGAAGTACCTGTTGCAGTTGATGAATCTGTCTTTCTTCAGAATATCACACTTTTCTATCTAAAACTTCAGGCTAAACTACTATTGCCGGCTACTACAATACAAACTATTATTGAGGGATATCAAGATGTCCATCATGTCAGTCTGACAAATCTGCTTAATACCTTGAGTGAGAAACTAACTGTCCTTGGAATCCCAGAGGCCACAATTAGTAACATTATGGATGAAATGAGAAAAGATGATCTCCTCACAGCCTGTAACAGTGGGCCTTTGAGCACAGACCAGAAAAGAAAGACGGCTTTTAAAAAACATTTTAATTATGTTGAGCCGGTGCCTCAGTTATTAGGTATCAATGAGAAAGGTAAGGAATCGTTTGCCCAGTATGTGCCTATTAAAGAAACATTGGCTGCACTTTTTAAAAGCAAGTCCATGCAGGAACAGTATGCAGCAACACATTCCACACCATCATCAGAGGGTATTTTCCAAGATGTAAATGACGGGAAGGGAGCTCAGTGCAACCCTTTATTTAAAGCGGAGCCATCTTCTCTTGGTCTTATACTTTATCAGGATGCATTTGAAGTGGTTAATCCACTTGGTTCTTCTAAAAAGAAACACAAGATTCTAGCAGTTTATCTCACTTTAACAGATATTTTGCCTCATAACAGATCATCCATAGATCAAATGCAGCTTGTTCTCTTGTGTAAGGAGCAGGACTTCAAATATTTTGGGATGGACAAGGTATTTGAGCCCCTCATTAAAGACCTGAAAGCTCTTGAGGAAACTGGCATTGAGATAAATAATGGACAAATTGTCAGAGGTCGACTGTGTGCTATTTCTGGTGACAATTTAGGGTCTCACTGTATTGGCGGATTTGTTGAGAACTTTAGTGTGAGCCATTATTTCTGCAGGTATTGTGATATAAAAAGATCAATTTTTGAGAGCTCTCCATTATTATGTGGCAACAAGCGTACAGAACAGTCTTTTCTGAATCATCTACAAGAATTAGAAAACACTGGTACAAATTCTGAATGTGGTATCAAGTCAAACTCTCCTTTTAACCAACTGTCCTTCTTTCATGTTTGCCAGCCTGGATTACCCCCATGTCTTGGCCATGACCTGTTTGAAGGCATTGTTTCCTGTGACCTTAGTTTGTTGATTGGTCATCTAGTTGAGGAGAAACATTTCAACTATACACAACTGAACAGGTGCAAAGATCAGTTCAACTATCAGGGAAATGATGCCCAGGACAAACCAGCCGATGTTTCACCAGGTAGCAGAAGACTTGGTGGACATGCAGTCCAGAACTGGTGCTTCCTGCGTTTGCTCCCTCTCCTGATAGGAGATAGGATTAGGAATCCATGTGAGAATGGTGCCTGGCAACTTGTGCTGCAGCTCAGAGAAATTGTAGAGCTCATTTGTGCACCAGCAATCACTACAGATCAGGTTGCTTACCTTAAAATACTCATTGAGGAGTATATCTACTTTCGAAGGCAGCTCTTTCCCAATGAGCCCCTGAAGCCCAAACATCACTATTTACTTCATTATCCAGAGCTCATTACACACTTTGGTCCCCTTATTCGCCTTTGGACTCTCAGGTTTGAGAGTAAGCACACATTCTTCAAAAGATGTGCTAGGAAGTTACATAATTTCAAGAACATCTGCAAGACAGTCGCAGAGAGACACCAGCTCTTCCAGGCATACTTGAGTGCAGGTAAAATGTTTCAGCCGAGTGTGTTACTGGATAAAGAGATGACATTCTATGTAAATGACTACAGCGACAAAATCAGAGAGGCTGTTGTTGGTTTGCATTTTGAATCTAAAGATACAGTAGCATCTCACACAGTGACGGTGAAGGGCACATCATACAAAAAGGGCATGTTTATTTTGCTGGGGAAAACTGAAGAAGAGTTGGAGGTTGGCAAGATAGAGCTGGTCATTGTGCACCATGGCTCTGTGTCATTTGTCTCAGAAAAATATTGTTTTGTTAAGTTGAGGGACATTGGGGTCTATAGTGTTTTGGGGACACCTCAAGAGCAGTTTGTTTGCATGAGGCATGATGATCTACTGGATTATTATCCTTTGCCTGCCTACACAATGTGTGACATTACAATGATCTGTCTCCATCACTCCTTTGCAGAGACATGGCTGCAGCACAAGAGGAGCTCAGGAGGGCTGTCTTGGCAGTACTCCCGGACCTCCCCGCAGACACACTAACTACCTTGATGGCAGGCCTGGAAGAACTTGGTGTGGAGAACAAGGAGGATGTGAGCCTTCTAAGTGAAGAAAATCTTCTGCCCTTTCTCCGTGTGGTCCAGTCTAGAAAGCTTCTCCGTGCCTTTTCATCTCAAGGTAACCGTAGGTTGGGTGGTTCGGGTTCTATGGGTGGTTCTGGGATGGGGGTGGTCATCTGCATGGAGGGATGCAAGGCACTTTTACCCTTCGTCCTATTTAATGATTTAACTGTTACTGTTAATTCTAAGTATATTAGGCTACACATCGAAATGTTCACAGTTGAACTTGTAAACCTAGGGTGCGTTTGTAAATTCACTCCAAGCACCCTCAGCATGTGATTTGTTTTTTTTATATGGTATGATTGTGGCGTGATGTATTAACTGATGTGTTTGGCAGATTGTGAAATCCACTTTTGTTTTGTGCCCTAAAAGTTGCAACATCGATGGCCAAATGGAATTCCCACCCTTGTCACCAATCAAATTTTTTTTGAAGCGTGACATGATATGACCTTGGCTGTCAGGTGGCTTTCTACAGTTGTTTTTGGGGCTACCACGACAAAAAGTTTGAAATAAAAGAAAAATTAATGGTTTTATTTTATAGAAAATATGATTGGTGTTTAAATATACCATAATATGTCTGGATCATAGGGGTCTAATGGTAAATATTTTTTCAGGTTCCTTCTCAGCCCTGTCTCCTCCTGGCTCTCCACAACTCTCCTCAACCCTGTCCCCCGTGGGAAGTCCACAACTCTCCTCACCCCTGTCCCCCGTGGGAAGTCCACAACTCTCCTCACCTGAGACACCCCGAACGTCCAACCCAATGCCCTCACCACGCACACCATGGCCTGTACATTTTAAGGTGAGGCGGGTCTTGGCGATTTCTAAAATATATTTCTATTCTACTCAATAGGGATGCACCAATGGCAAAATTCTGGGCCGATGCCGATGTTCAAAATAGCAATGTGGCCGATGGCAATGGCCGATGTTTGTTGTTTCTCAGATTATGTTATAAGATTGGGCTTCATTTGAGTCTGATGCTGAAATTGACTATAAATGCACCCGTAAAAGCTTATATCCTTGTATCCTCTCTTTTTTTTGCCATTTTCTGTTTGCATCCTTGAAGGTTAACTGGGAGAAGATGACGCCAGAGATTCAGTCAGCCATTGCAAATTCTACTAGACCGAATCCTGCTGCCAGAAGAGCGATGGTCAGAGAGCTTGTCGATCAAATGAGGGTGCACAATGCAAATCCAAATAGAGGGATCTGTTTGAAAGTTGTAAACGATATAATACAGAAGTACCCCACATGTTTTGGGGATGTGGATGATGATGAAAATACAGCTGGGGCATCGCTCGTCCAGCAAGTAAAAACCAGAATCGAGCATGTCAACCGAAACAACACATTGGCACGGTTAAGGAAGAATAAGCACAGCAATCGGCAGGCGAGGACAAATGGAAGAGGTCCCGTTGATCAATATGGATGTGTCCGATGGGCACCTCAAGAACTCCCCTCAGGGGAGACTGATGAAACCCTACAAGAGATGAAGACTCAGATGCAGCAGCTATATGCCCAGGTAGGAATAGTGGAAATTATATTTAGGCATCCTTAGACACAAACCTACATTTTATTTTTGAGTATTGATGCATCCAAATTTTGACTCCCCCGACCCCTAGGAAGGAATGTCAGGCATGGAGAGAGGAGCGCTTCAGAGATGGCTTCAGAGAACCTACATTCTCCAGCGTTGTGATCTCAATGCTGACCCTCCACACAGCGTCTCAAAAATTAAGGATGACTGGCCCTTTCTCTTCTCCTTGAAGGGCCTGTTCTCGCATTTCAGTGAACTGACCGGAATTCCAATCCAGGAGAAGCTGCCAGCTGCCATAGACAACAGGAGTCAGAACATCATAGAGTACTTCCAACAGCAGAAGACACCAGGAGTGGGGAAGGTTCTGGAAGCCTACGATGAAGAGAGTGGCAACAAAGCTATCTGCACCATTATGTGCCTGCTTGCTCACTTCAAGGAGGGGGATGGTATCTTCCTTACGGCTGATGTGAGTATAACTTGCAGTGCATATCCATAAATTAACCATTCCCTCACTCTCTCCCTCCCATCTCCGTCCTGCTATTTTGTAATTGTTAATTACCAGAAATCAGTCACCAGCCCCATCCTTTGCTATGGACACTTTGCACAAGTTATTCTAATATTATATAGACTCTGAACAGCCTGAGTATCAGACCAAAGCTAGCGCTTCAGTCTGACACCCGTCTCATTCAAAGCGTTTACAAAGTTGGAGGGCTTTAGATACCTTTTCAAAAGAAAACTTCCCATTTCCAAAACGTCGCCCCTTCTAAAAAAGCTCTCCATGCAGAATACTGTACTGGTTTCAGAGCAGTTATTCCAGTAAACCGTCTGTTTTTTACTAAAACTGCCTCAATCTATATTCTCCGTTCTCCGAGGCAGTCAGCGCACAGGCAGATATTGCTTGAAAATGGGCCCTGGGCTGATTGGTTCATCACGTTTAGTCCCGTCCACCCCCAGCGGTCATTGGGCTAACATTCTTCCGGTCTGGCTGTACTTGTTGCTCGGAATGGGGAATGCAGACCCGAGACGGAGCCTACTTAGCGAAGTGGGCTGAGTCCGTGGTCTGATCCAGGCTATACTCTGATGGGTTAGCCATTGCTTCCTGCCATATAGTTCATAAAATAATTTTAATTTACTGTTTTATTGACATGGCATCCATATTTAAAATAAATATTTGCCATGTGCAGTTGTTTCTAGATTTGGCACCATAAATTGAAGCTGATTTTCCCCTTGGTGTTGAGTAGAACATTACAGCTCTTGGGGCAAGTTTTCTTTGTCGTTGTTTACTCAACGTACTCATGGTTAACTTATGGTTTTTATTCTCCAGCCCTCTGCCACGGCTGCTGATATTGAGAGAGCTGTCAGTCTGCCAAGCACACCTCGATTAGTTGTACCAGGTATAATCTTCCCTTATTTTGTAGAAGTTAATTCTTTAATGAATTCATGTGGTTGAGGGAGGACTGTTGCGCCTAAAAAATGTCTTTCTTTGAGTTGTTGATGGAGGGTGCGGGGGTCAAAGGAGATAATGTTCAAGTGGAGGTGTGCGAGTCTTTCTCCACTTGAACATTAATGAATTCATGTAGGTGGCAATAGTGTGTTGTGCAGCTTTTAGTTATCATATTGTTAATGGGTTTCAGGAGAGATACTGCGCGGTGCAGATATGTGGGTTATGTCCATGGAAGGAGCATGTGTGATGGGGCCCCACAGCAACCTCCTGCATGGATTGGCAGCAGTCTTCGCTGCCTACTATGTCTTCAACTTGCAATATCCAGCAGAAGCCGCAAGCACACTTGAATTCATTCAGAGGTGAGTTTAAAAATGGCATTGTCATAAAAACGAGAAACTTAAATTAAGAAACACGTATTAAAATTAAGAAACTCGTATACAAAATGTGAGCGTACGAGTTTCTTAATTTGTGATTTGTAGAATAGGATTTGTGAACCTGCAATGAAGAATTTGAGAAGGTGTAACTGTTGTGTTTGTGGGAGAGACAAAAAAGTCTACAAGTTTGCAACTCTTAAAACATTTCTCTCTGAGACTTCAAATTTCTTCTTCAAATATACCTCCATAAGCAATGACTTGATATATGAAGGGAACTTTTCTGTAATTTACATTTTTTGTTAGAGTTTGGGATGTCAGTAAGTCACTTAATACAAATACAAAAGCATATTACTTCGCATTTTGAGTGATCAGATTTTACACATTGCTTTGCAGTTATAAGAAAAAATCTAATTATGCTATCCAATTTAGTGAGAAGGGGACGAGCGAGGGGATGGGGAGAGATGGTTGACGATCGCACACACAGACACTCACTCAATCTCTCACAGGCACATACTCAGGGGTTAAAGTATTCCGGCACCATGCCGGATCTCCGGCGTGACACAGTTGTGATGAAATTTTCAGCAGGATAGATATTCGTAAAGGTTTATCATTTGAGTTCCCCAAAACCTATGGCAGCTCTCACACACAAAAAACGTGTTTAGCCAATCAGAAGCAGAGTAGGGTTGGACTTGTGTTTGCTAGCTATAACAATGTGCAGCTATCCAACAAGATGAAAGTTTTCTCTCACTCACAGATGCGTGATGTGCGAGTGCGTGGAAAAATAGAACCAATTCCTATTTTAAAGCACGCGTGTGCTGGGTCTGCGCTGTCCACGTTCCTGGTGTAGCCAGAATCGCTGACATCGGTTGAATCCACGAGTGCGTAGAATTCAGCGTAATACTCGCGTGTAGAGGCCCGCTGTAGCTCGGGTGTTAAAATCACAGTTTAGAGATCTTTCTATTTGTAAACAATGCTCATGAATTTAGACCTGAAAATAGACCTACCCCTCCACATCTAATAGTCTGCTCGTTTGGGAAATGGCTGAGGTAAATATGAAAGTAAATTGAATGAAAATAATATTAAAAAAATATACAGGCCTATATAAAATAGGAAAGCAGATTTTACTGATGCAAAGCTTTTAAAGGGAGATGCATCACGGTTTCAGCCCAATTTCTATCCGATGCACACCACTCCAACCGGTGCACTCGCATCGCAGACCCTTGCATCGATCGTGCCAAGCCACAGACACACACATACTCATATAGCCTACAGTGACTCTCAGTCTCACACACACAAGCACTCAGTCATTCATAAAGATCCCTTAATGTTTCATGTCATGGTTATGACCATGTCATATCTGTCTTAAATGTTACCTGATAAGTGTGTTTTTCCCCCCTGTTTTCAGAGCCTTTTGCGGCATAAATCCCCAGACGGGCAGCAAGGCAGAGAAAAGGCGAGGGCTGAATGCACCAGTTTGCACACTTTTGAGGAAACTGCTGGATTTTGAATTGGTGGGCAGGGGAAATTAGAGGACATTAGTGGGCAGGGGACATTGGGGACATTAGTATGTTTGACAACTCATGTTCAACCAGTTTGGTACACTAATACTTTGTGCATTGTGCACTCTGTTTTTTAAGAGAAAATAAAATATATATAAAAAAAAAAAAAAGTTTTTTGTTTTTCTTTGCAGAAGTCTGAAAGAGAACATTTATCCAAGTTACAACATTTAATTGTAATATTTACAATATTCTGTCCTGTGAAATTACAGGAAATTCCTGGCTACTGAGTTGCCGTAAATATAAAATTTTGCTGTAATATTTACAGTATTATATCCTGTGAAATTACAGAAAATCCCTAAAATTACAGGAAATTCCTGGCTACTGAGTTGCCGTAAATATAAAATTTTGCTGTAATATTTACAGTATTATATCCTGTGAAATTACAGGAAGTACAGTACTTTGTTGTAGTTATTTTACAATAACAGTCCTGTATACTGTTTACAGTAAATTTACGGCAACTATTAGCCAGGAATTTCCTGTAAAATTACAAGAAATTTCTAACAGTGAAGTTACAACGCCACCAGCCAAATAAATTTGATTTAAGCATTCTAAATGTGAAACTTCCTTAATGAATTGTCTCACAAAACTCCATCACGACAAACATGAGGTGACATTATATTTTATTTCTAACCCTCTTAATCTGATTTTAATTCCACAAAGTGATTTTCATTCTATTGAAAGAAATATCTGACACACACACGGTTCACTTTTAACACATTAAGAATAATTCAAAGATTATTAGAATATTTTTCCATCTTATTGAATAGGTCAAATTGAACATTAGTCAGAGTTAATGCACTGTAATGTGTCTTATTTTATGTTAATAAAAAGTTACAAAAGCGGTATAAGAAGTAAATGTTTATGTTTCATTTCTTGTTAGAAGAAGAGCTTTTTTAAACAAATTGTCTACTGAAATAATGATGTCATTAATTCATTAAATATTGAGTCAGACAGAGAAGATACTTTTTAGAAAATGCCTCCACTCATTATTATTATTATTATTATTATGCTAAACTATGCTATGTTTGTTATACTTTTTAGTACTAATTTACTACTGTCTGTTTCTCTCTGTAACAGTGAACAGGTATTGAAGTCATTAGTGGTCTGAGGGCTCCTCCTCTGGTGGCTTCATGTTACAAGTGTTCAGGCACTGAGGTTTTTGTTCAGGTCTGCTGATGGTTTGTGTTATTGTGGATCTCTGGCACAGTAATACACAGCAGTGTCTTCAGGCTGCACATTCTGTCCGTTTAGAGTCACTCTGTTGCTGGAAGAGTCTAAGGAGATACTGAACTTGTTCTTTAGGGAATCTTTGTAGGATGTTGTCCATCCAACACGTGCACTTCCAATACACTCCAGTCCCTTCCCTGAAGGCTGTCTGATCCAGGCTGTGTGTGAGTTGCTAACAGAATGAGAGACCTAACAGGTGATGGTCAGACGTTGACCTGGCTGTGTCAACTGTTCACACTTCACACCTGTTAAAAAAAGAAAATGTTTAGTAACAAATGATCAAGTTATACTGCAAAAGAAGAACTGCTGACTTTGACAAATCCAGAGAGACTCACATCCAGCTGCCAACAGCAGCAGCAGAGCTACAGAAAACATGGTTTATGTTGAAAGTGACGTGCTGTGAACTCCACTGACAGCCTGATGGGAAGTTTTTATAGCTGAGTAACAAGGAAGGTCACTGAGTTTGCATAGAATCAAACACATGAAGCATCAATGTTGGTCTAACTGGAGCCAATAGAAGAGTCTGTTGACTGTTATTATATCTGCAGAGTGAAAACATGCCTGGAAATCACCTCTGCTTTACATATGATAATTTAATTCATTCACTACACATCAAAATGTTCCTGCATTAACAGAAATTAAACAACTGTTGACTTTTAATGTCTGTATTGATATCATTTTAATATTAAAACATTATGAAAATGATTGCAACAACTATTAGGATCATTATTACTATTCTTAATGTCAATATTAACAAGAGTCAAGGATTATGCAAAACTTCATTAAATTCATTAAAATCAGCATTGTGATAATGATGATGTGCACCGAAGGACCAACTACCATTAACACTTCCCATAAGCCATATTATCTAATTATTAAAAAACACTTTAAATATAATTTAAGCTGTTTTGTGAGATATATTATGTATTACCAGAACCTTCTACATCACATTGATGATTAATTTCAACTGTCTGAGCACAGCTTTTTTGAAACATTTACAACATGTACTTATTTGTTCATTTAATTACTACTGTAGCCTACTTATTGCGAGAGAGAAAACCAGTGCCAGCAGCAGGATCATGTAAATAAAATGAAAGTTATGTAAGTGTGCTTGCATAAAATAAATTTAATGGTTTCTGGTTGTTGACATGACATGGCAATTTCACTGTCACAGAAGATTAAAATAAATAAAGATTATTTTGTCATGATTTAGAGTGCAGTAAATGCTTAAACCTTTACCTAACCTGTTGTTGTAAAAGCAGCTTTGTTATTAGTTTTCTTACATTTTTGAGCCAAATCTCAAAATTGTCGTTTGATGTGACTTTCTCAAGCATGGTTACGGAAATTACAACTTTTATAAAATAAAATGACTGAATGATGAATGAATGTTGATAAATACTTCAGGCATGATGTTACAAGTGTCTATTTTAGTAAATGACAATCATTTAGTATTTTATCCATATATTTCTAAAAGCGTAGGAGCTTGATACATTTTGTCACTGAAAACCACGTCCTGTAGTGTGACACCATATCTTAATTTAATCGGCCAATTCAACAGACAACCTTATTTAGTTGAAAAACCCCATTCACTTTAATGGTTCTGAAGCCCATGATGTGCACATGGTAAGTTTTGGTCTCAGAATAGTTCAAATATTTAGCTTTTTCCAAACCGCTATAAAAGTGTTGTGTTTTTTTGTACTTTGGTGTGACAGGCCTAAATTATATTTTTTAATTCAAAACTGTATGTTAAAGTACATAATTATAGAAAATGTAGCTAACGTGTGCCGCTAACTGCTAATGACAGGTTAGCTAGGTAAAGCATGGTCATTAACTGGCACAAACAGGCTGAAACATCCATCCTCATCCTCTGGTGCCACACCTGTAACTGTCAGAGGACAAAGATGTCACACAAGAGGACAAAGTCTCTTTAAAATGCATTTTAAATTATTAATTCAGATTTGTTTAACTCCTTTGTATTCTTTTGTATAAATTTTTTGTGTTTTTAAATGCAAAAATTACAGTAAAAAACACAGCTATTTTGCAGAAAATTTGTACTGGTATAAAGTGTCATGAAAATAAGTAATGTGAAATGTGAAACTTCATTTTTTCTTTTTTAGATAGGAATAAATGAGGGAGATAAATGGTTGGGAGAGAGAGAGGACACTGAAGTATAGAGAGAAAATTAACAGGGATCCACACAGAAAGGAGTAGGTCCTAAGAGAACAACGAAGAAAGAAAAAAATAAATAAATAATTTAGTTTTTGAACAACTTGGGTGACATTGATATTGTTTTTTTTTATCAAAATTACATTACAATTACAAAATTTCACTGGGTTTGCTTTATCAAGGAGTCAACTTTGATTATGTCGATGAAAAATTGTTTGTTTTGTTTTTTAAAATACGGTTGAAATTGATATTGTTTGATTCAACATGACATATTGAAAGTTAAATAAAACAGCTTTAATGTAATACCATTTATGTCCTCTTTAATGCAATGACTACCATTATTGTCCTATAGTGTGACACACATAAAAGAACCAAAAATGTGTGTTTATCTCAAAATATCTTTAATAAAAACAGTTCAGTATTTCAGCAGGAGAGACATAGTGATCACTCATCATAAATTTGTAAAACTTTCAACAGTTTTGAAAGGATGACATCAAAGTTTACTTTTACTTTTATTCAAACGGTGCAAGTCCAAGTTCAATTCATGGGGAAAAATAGTGTTATTCTATATTTCATAGCCAATAAATAACAGTATATGAAAAAAGGGTCTTACAATTAAGATGAATCTCTTTCATGTTTGTATATTATTAAAGACTTTTTTTTCTTAATTTTGTTATGTCACACTAGGACACATTTCCAGTGCAGTTCAGCAAAAATAAAAAAAATAAAAAACAGGGAAAGAATGAACAAAATTAGTGACCCCTTATATTATTTTAAAAATCTGATTTTACACAAATATTGTGTTTTAGATGAAAATGTTTTTTTTACTCCGTATTTGTCAACTACCCATTTACAGACTCTAGTGGAGCAGCTCCTTCAGGGTTCTTCATCTTGAGATCAACTTCTTTTCTGCTGAGATGAACTGACACTGACAGATGGGGCTGCAGTCACTGCTGATGGTAAACACCTTACAGTCAAACTTTAATATTCAAAATGTGCTGAATCAAGTTAACACATGACTTATGTTTAGAATAGAAAAGCATCAACTATCACAGTATCCAGTGTTCATGAGCAGCAGGAGTGTTAAGCTTTAGTTCAGTCCAGGGTTCAAGTGTCGGTCAGTTAAGATCAATGAGAACACCAGATCTGGGTGTCTCCTTTTAGAAACAGAGGAGAGAGAAACTTGACACTGACTGCCCTCTAGTGATTTTATGAAGCTGCACGAAATTATTTTCACTCTCATATTATAACTAACTTTAGATTCCACACAATTTACAGACATTAATGCATCTAAATTTGTAGACATGTATAGAAATGTTTAGTCTTTCTTTTTGTTAGTGTAATTTCAACAACCATAGTGTTGTGCTGTCTTTTATAAAAAAGTGATCTTTATTGTGTTTTTCTTTAATATGTTCATACGTAATGTAATAAGGTTTCTCAGGAACAGTTTACAAAAACATGTAATGCAACATAAAGTATATGATTTAAGTACTATAAAAAAAAACTACAGCTGCTGTCTGTTGTTGTCTTTGGAGATGGTAAACCGGCCTTGAACTGACTGAGAGTAGTGTTTGCTGCTACCATCACCGCTACTGATATAAGTGATCCACTCCAGTCCTTTTCCAGGAGCCTGTCTGATCCAGCTCATCTCGTAGTCACTGAATGTGAATCCAGAGGCTGTACAGGTCAA